ACCCCCAACCCGACTCTGACGGTCTATCTTTCATTTAAATTCCAAAGGAAACGGCTCTACTCAGCCCGGTCCGCGATGGGCTTGTCTGTCTGAATCACACGCGTCTCAAAAGCGATGCTTACATTTCGCCCTCTTTTTGGTAACTGCCTTTACGGGGGGGGATGTTTCAGGTTCCCCCCCCCCCTTTACCCTGAATGTGCGAAGGGACCGGAAGTCTATCCGGAATAAGTGAAGGCTGCCGCTCCCCAGCCGCCGCCGGCGCCCCCCCCTTTACGGGGGGCACGGGGACGGTCTGCCCTGGGGCTCGTCTCTCCCACCCTTGGTCTCTCTGCGGGACGGCGCGCGCCCCCTACCGCTCGGAGGAGAGCACGGCCGCCGCCGCCTCCTTTGCTCGCTGCTGAGGGCTGGCCAAACGCGGTCGGAGGGCTTAAAAAATAATGATTGTGATAATACAGTATTAATAATCATCCCAGTGCATGGCGTGGCTGGCCATTGTAACCTCCCTCAGACCGGCGAGGGTTTGTGGGGGAGTGGGGTGTCAAGTCCCCCTCCTCCCGAGGCGCTACCGCCGGCGCTCCTCGGGGGGTGGGGGTGGGACGGTCTGCCCTGGGGCTCGTCTCTCCCACCCTTGGTCTCTGCGGGACTGCGCGCGCCCCCTAACGCTCGGAGGAGAGCACGGCCGCCGCCTCCTCCTCCTTTGCTCGCTGCCGAGGGCTGGCCAAACTCGGTCGGAGGGATTAAAAAATGATTGCGATAATACAGTATTAATAGTCATCCCACTGCATGGCGTGGCTGGCCATTGTAACCTCCCTCAGACCGGCGAGGGTTTGTGGGGGAGTGGGGTGTCAAGTCCCCCTCCTCCCGAGGCGCTGCTGACCCACCTAGCAGGGTTGTTTGGAAGGAAAGCCCTCGGCAAACGCGGCTGCAAGGAAGAAAATACTTTAAAAGGATGCCAGGCTTCCAGAAGGTGTAACGGCGAGGAATCGAGATGAATGAATAAAAGCTCTCCTGCGAAAGAAAGCTTATTCATTTCGCGTGCGATGCATTTAGAAAGCCAACCCTCGGCCGCAAATCGGGGGCTTCTCTGTATGGAAAGCAGGGTGGCTGCAGGACAGAGAGAGAGAGAGCCAGGGCGCCGGGACCTCGGCCGCGCAACCGCTGATCTCCGCGGGCCCCTCCAAAGGAGACCGGGCGGGGGGAGGGTCCGATCTAAAGGATCTCGTTTGGGAAGCCCCGGGGCGCCCCCCTCCCCGCCGCCGCCGCCTGGGTCTGGGCATGGGCTTCCTTCGGCCAAGCCGGGGAGCGGGCGGGC